CTTTCATTTGGCTGCCTAATGAGTCACATCACAGGCAGGGAGAAAAATTGTCAATCGCCGCGGCGCTAATGAATTTTTTTGCAAATTGTAATCAAGCCCGGCCGTCGCAGCCCGCTGATTAATGAGCCCCGAGAGGCTCGGCCGAAACCTCCGCGCCTCCCGCCAGCCCGGCCGCCCCGCACTAAATTAACAGCAACTTGTCTGCGCTTCAAATTAACTCCCCGTGATTAATTCCGAGGCCGCCGACGACGCCGACGCCTGGGCTGGCTCGCCTGCGCGGACGGGGGGGGGCTTAATAGCCCCTCCACTCTTCCTTTCCTCCCCGCCCCCCTCTTAAGCTGTGGAGTCCCGTGAGCAAAAATTCTGCTTCGTGAGCGACTGGCATTAAAGTTGTGAGCGAGCGATATGGGCTGCTGCATCGATTCGTTTGCTCTGGAGCCCTCCTTCCTGAGCGGAGACAAAAATGTGTCCGCTGGAGGCTAAGAAACTGCGAGCTAGCTCACACTGACTCAGCTTAGGGGGAACACTGCGGGGGTGGGGAGATCTCGGGCTCCTTCAGGCGAGAGAGGCGCGCCGGACCTGCCGCGGTTCTTCCTTCCTTTCCCCGGCTGGGGCCCGAAGCCCTGTCAGGGAGAGGAGGAAATTTCCCTCGTGCGAATAGGGAGGAGGCGCCGAAACGAGGGTTCTGTCCCTTCAGAAACAGGAGCGGCGGCGGGGGGAGGGGGGCACTTGGGGAGGTCTCGTCGAAAGGAGCAGCGCTCTGCCTCGGAGGGCCGCGACTACGGTCTGCGGTCTCCTCTCCCCTTCTGCCCTGGAGAGGAAAATATTCCAGACCGCTTCTCTCCCCCCCCCCCTTATGACTGCTGCTAAGTCACGGCCTTGTTGTGGGGCGCTGCTCGGTTTCTCTGCCTCCCAATCCCCCCGAGGAGGGGGACTCCAAAGGAGGCAGGAACCCCCCCCCCCTCCAGGGTCATCATCTCTCTCTCTGTCTCGTTTCTATTTGTGTTGACTTGATTGGCTTAATTATCGCCGCTGTGATTGGCAGGCCGCCCCGTGGGATCTTTCGCACCCTCCCCCCCTCCTGCCCCACCGGGGGCGGCGGCGTCTCCTCAAGGGGAGAAACCCCACCACCACCACCACCAAAGTAGGGAGCAGGGAAGGCCAACGCGTCTGGCCGGGCCGCGACTTCTCCAGCCAGCTTCGGGGCCGGGAGCGCCGCGCAGACCTGCGGGCCGCACAGAACGCTGCGCCCGGCCGGACTGGACGACGAGGCCGAATGGGACCCGCTGGGAAGAGCCCTCGGGTTTCCTCCCGGGCGCTGCGGACAGGGCGCGCTCCTTGGCCCCGAGGCGGAGGTCCAGCGCGCCCGGCCGGCCCTTCTGGCGTCGAGGCGGGAAGGAGAGGCGCAGCAGATCCAAGGGTCGCCGGCCTCCGGCCCCAAGGAGAGCCTGAGGCGCCGGCCTCCGTGGGCAGACGGGACGAGGGCCCCGGAAACACCGGAGAGTCCCGCTGGGACTCCTGTCCGACGCCGGCAGTGTGGACCAGCGTTCCCGCTCAGCTGAGTTCGTGTGAGCGAGCCCACAGGTGTTTAGCCTCCGCTCTTCGCACAGGAAGGAGGGCTCCAGAGCAAACGGATTTACGCCGCAGCCCAATCGCTCGCTCCCAGCTTTAATGCCAGCAGCTCACACGGTGGAGGTTTTGCTCACAGGACACTCCCCGGCTTAGAGGGAGCACTGGGGGTCCATTGGTGCCGGGGAGCGGCGGCCCTGGGGACCCGGCTGCGTCTCTCGTCTCCAGGGGGCTCCTCCTGGACTTGAACCGATAAACATGCCAGGGCCTGTTTGGAGGGGGGGGGGAGAGAAGGCACACAGCCTGGCTGTTCGACGCCGGCCCGGACTGGTCGGCCTGCAGCTCAGAGCCCCGCAGGACGCAACAGGTGAGGGGAGGCCAGGCAGAGGCTGCCGAGAGGCGCCCCCCACCCTAGCCAAAAATGAGGTTCGGTACCCGCGAAGAGGAGGAGGATTTTCAGCAGCTCCCCTTCCCTCGGGGCCGCCTTCCACACTCAGCCCCC